ACTATGAGGGAGCTTCAAAAGTTCATAGAAAGTGGATTTAAAAGATAATGGAACCCAGAGAAACAGATGCCTGAGATAGAGACAGAGATGATGACGTGGAGTGATGAAGCGACTGGGGACTTTGGATCCAGAGAGGGAGAGGGACTGTGGGCCGAAGACTGGGGAGGGAGGGGGGAGTGTAGGGGGCGGGTTTCTGGGATATACCCTTTGGATGGTTGATGATGCATGGAGGGGATTGGAACCATGGCAATGAGATGATATACGATGGAATAAATGTAAAACTAAAGTTCTCCCATGTAAACTATCATATAATTCACAATAAAACATTAAAAAAAAAAAAGATAATGGAATTTTTCCATTACCTTTTTGAAGCCCCCACGTATAAGGAGAAGTTGTCCCTTCTCCCCCATTTATGTATTGGGGTGTGTATTTCTGTCCAGATGGATTCATGGATACTGTGTAGGTTACAATCCATTGCTAGCATTATTTGTTGCTCAAAGAATAGGGGATTGCACTAACCCAAGATTGGTTAGTAGGAGATGAAGAGATCTCTTCAGAATATAGGAACAAGAAACAGAAGCAGTAGTCACTGTTGCTGGGGTAAGTAACTGGAGCCAAGAGCGAGCTGAGGGGCAGAACTTGGTGGAGAGGGGCAGATGGGGCTCACTGCATGGGGGGTGGGATAACTGTGAACTAGCGAAAGGATGTTGATCCCAAGAAACTGACAGTACCATCATCGTGGTCTCAGGTCGGGGCTGACTACATACTTTGCCAGGCCCAATACAAAATAAAAATGCAAGGCCCCTTGTTCAAAAGCAAGTTCCTGGGTGGTACAGCTATAACTAAACAGTTGGCAGATAGAAGTCACCTAGAGGTGCATTGGAAGAAAGGCCTGGCAATCTACTTCTGAAAATCAGCCAGCGAAACCCCTATGGATTCATAATGGTCTGATTCCCAACTGACGCTGGGGCTGGTGTGTGACCAGGCAGTGTTTTGTTCCGTTGCATATGAGGGTTGCCTTGAGTCTGGGGCCAGGTAGACGACAGCTAACAGTAAGATGTGAGTTGCTCTACTTCTGGGTAGAGCCATGGCCAGTTTCTGAGTCCTGGCCCAAAAGGCTTCCAGACCTGTCAGAAAGGAGCCATCCCTACACCCCCTGCTCAACTTACAGTCTTGTTCACGTGGATTCCTGTAATAGCTGTTCAGCCTCGTTAACAGCCACGGTGGTAAGTCCAGTTGTTGAAAAGATGACACTTAGGCTGCATGTGCTCAGGAGGACAAACAGCTTCACTCTCCCTTGGGACCCTCTTTGCTAAGCTTTTGGCTCTAGCTACTACAGACCCAGTAGGATCCCAGCACTATGAGATCATGACAAGAGCAAGGCACTAGAATTAGGGGCCCTGGTTCAAGTGTCCTCCCTTCCAGCATGCTAGCTGTGAGGCCTTAGTTAGCAATGGTGCTTCTGGAACCTCAGTTTCCTCCCTCACAAAGGCTTAGTAAGACCCACAGGGCTGGGTCAGGAAGTGGATGGAGGGATTTGAAAGCTTATATGTATTAATTAAAACAAAAACTCGTTGTCACTGAGTCGATTCTGACTCATTGTGATCCTGTAAAACAGAGTAGAATGGCTCCATTGGATTTCCAAGGCTGTCATCTTTACAAAAGCAGACTTTTACCTTTGTCTTGTGAAGCGACTGATGGGTTTGAACCGCTGACCTTTGGTTGGTTTTTGAAAGTGGCTTTAAGCACTATGTCAAAGGGGCTCCCAAGCTCCTATAAGTGTCTGTTGTTGTTGTTAAGTGCCATCGAGTTGGTTTCAACTCATACCGAACCCTGTATAAAGTTTCCAAGGAGCAGCTGGTGGGTTTGAACTGCTGGTCTTTTGGTTCACAATCAAATGCTAATATAGCACTCTAGAAAAGTAATGCATTCTGCTTATGTATTTGCTGTGCATAAAAAAAGGGGGTGGTGGTGTTGATTCCCGCACTTCTGTATAAAAGGGTCCGTTTCTGCTACTTACTCACCATCAAGCTCCGCCCCCTACACTTGCAGCCAGGCCCACAGATGGGGGAGTCAAGTGAATGGAGTCCCCTAGGCATTCTGCCTGGGTCTGGCTCCTCTTGGCCATTCCAGTCCTCCTGCAGGTCCTACCTCTGTGTGCTCTTGTCTTCTCAACACCATCCCCCTTCTCTACCCTCTGACCTATGTGGTCACCTCAGTGGGGAACAATCAAGTGCTTCCTGACCTTTGGGCTGAACTCTTCCCTTCTTTCAGTGGTCAGTGGAATAATGGCCCCCAAAGCTATCTACATCCTAACCCCTGAAATCTGTGTCACCTCATATGGCAATGTGTGCATTGCAGCTGTGATCAAGCTAGGAATTTCAGAATGCCCCAAAAGAAACAAACGCTAAGAATTTAGAGAACAAATAAGCATGGAAGCTAAACTCCTGTTCCCGTACTATCTAGCCAGCCCCATCTTAAATGTTAAATGGAAATGAAATCGTGCCACTCTCCTGCTCCCATCAATTCCATTTCCCACCAAGGAGGAAGAAAGCCCCACCTAGTCTGCTCTCTCCCTTCCACTCTGCCTCCCTATGCCAGGATAGTCAGTCTTCTTGCTCTTCCTGAGATGCACAAAGTTGATTCCCGCCTCACAGGGTTTATATCTGGTGGTCCCTCAGCTGGAAAACTCCCTGAGTCCATTCAGAGCTTGATCCCTGATTGCATTCAGGTCTCTAGTCAATGCCACTTCCTCAGAGAAGTTTCTTTGACCGTCTCGTGTAAAACAGTTTCACTCTTCTACCCCATTACCCCAACACCTCATTCTGCTTAATTTTTCTTAATTATTCTTAATATATGTATATTATATAAACATATATCACTGATATGTTGTTAAGTGCTGTCGAGTCAATTCCGACCTATAAAGACCCTGTATAGGGTTTCCAAGAAGCAGCTGGTAAGCTTGCAGTTCAAACGACTTTGCAGTCTGACACATATCACTGATATATGTTAATATAATATATATATATAGTTATTTATTACCTATATCCCCCATTAGATTGTAAGCTCTGCAAGAGTTATTAAGTGCCATCGAGTTGGTTCTGACCCACAGCAACCCTGTGTAGAGTTTCCAAGGAGTTGCTGGTGAGCTTGAAACGCTGACCTTGTGGTTTAAACTGACTTTGCAGTCCAGCTCATTAACCTACAGCGTCACACCAGAACTCTCTATAAGAGGAGGACCTATGCTGAGTACAGAGGGGCTAATTAATAGCCAATATCCCCCAATATTGCCCCATTGCAAATGATTGTCAAATTCCTATTTTCAGCCTCATATTCCAGACATGGACTCCTGAGATGGCACTGTAGGATAAGCACTGGACTGTGAACCACAAGTTCAGGAGTTCAAACCTACCAGGTGTTCCTCAGAAACCCTATACAGGTTTGCTATGAGTCAGAACTGACTGGACGGCACTTAACAACAACCAACACAGTCCAGACCTAGATCTTCAGCTTCCTGAGGCACATCTTGGAAAAGCTATCCCAACAGCACCACTAAGTCAAATGTCCAAATCATCCAAACTAGCTTCTTCTCATGACATGAACATCTGACCTCTACCCCTTTTCACTCTCTTCTCTTTGTCCTCCCTCTTCATGCTCAGCCGTGTCTCACTTCCATCCCTGGCTTTTAACCCCCCTCCCCCAGCACCATTCCCCTCATGACAATCTGACCAGAGAAATTGAGGGAACTAATGAAGGAAGTCTTTCAGTCCAGCCTCCTGCCCATTGCCTAAATCCTTTCTTCAACCCTTCTGACAACTAGTCCTACTTTGAGCTTCAGCTTTGAATACTTTTGGTGACATCGACTCTGGCAGCAAGAAATGGCCTCATTGAATAATTCTAGTTGTTAGAACATGATTTCTTATATGAACTGAAATCATGTTATTGACACACACATATGTGTACAAACATACAGTGATACACCTCTTCCTAGAACATGACAGACCTGAAAATGTACAAAGACACGTATGAAATTTTCTGGGTTTACTGTTTTCTCAATTTTCTGATCTCTTTCCCCATGGGGTAAGTGAGAGGAAGTGACATGTGTCACTTTTAGGCAGAAACTTCAAGAACCAGCTTAAGTGACCTCTTTCCCCCTTACCACGAGACAAGCTCAGTTCCAGACAGAGGCTATTCTGATAGTCTGGAGTCTGGAGTGAAGATGGTAAGGAACAGAGCCCCGAGGGACCTGTAGTGAGAGGTGACTTGAGTCACTTCAAGTTCTACAAGAGACCACACACAAACTCTTTCATCCTAAATTACTGTTTTCTTCCTAAGCCTTTCTTCATTCCTTACAAATCACAATCTTACTTCCCTCACCAGTCTGACCACTAGATTTCACCCATTCTTGTCATTCTCTCTCTCTGAATGTGGAAGCCAAATCTGAATGTGGTATCTCAGGTGCAAGCCTACTAGAACAGCACAATCTCTGAGCCTAGAAATGATTTTGAATAGAGCCCAGAGTTGCCTGTGTGCATTTCTGTGTTTTTTATCAGCTGTGTCAAGTTGTTGCCTCTTGACAGTAAGACCCCATTTGCAGCCCTGGCAGGGTTGGCAGCATAGGATAATGCACGATTTACTAGCTAGTCTGCGCGACCGGCTCTAGGGAGGAGGCCCTGCGGGAGGTTTGCCCGGGGACCCTAGAGGCGGGGCTCCACTTTTCCAGGCTGGAGCCCTCAAGTCCCGCCTCCTCACCCGCCCGCCTCGTGGTGACCACCGGAGCCTGCGGCCTCGAGTCTTCTGAAGCCGATACCCAATGGGCGGCCGCGGATCTATCAGGGGGCGTGGCTTTCCCGAGAAGCCGGCCAGGTTGGCCCGCGGCCGGGCGCGGCACATGACGTCGTCTCCGTCGCGCTGCGATTTAGGCGTCGCGTACGCTCGGGGCGCCTGAAGGAGACTCGGGGACAGCAGGGCTATATTCCTTGGGCCCTTTCTCTTGTTGCCACTACCTGCGCTCCATGAGGAAGATGCTCGCCGCCGTCTCCCGTGTGTTATCGGGCGCCACCCAGAAGCCGGTGAGGCAGCCCGGGTGGGATGCGAGCCAAGGCGGGGCTGGGGACTGAGGAGCCTGCGAGGGCAGGTTGGGCCTCGGGCGCGCGGCATGGTGCTGCCCGTGACTGCTGGGTGGTGGGTAAGGGGAGTCGTGGGGCCTTTGTTTTGCCTCCACGCTGTGCGTTCTGCTCTTGGCTCCGGGAGGAGCCGTCTTGGAGGGGCCGCCCGACCTGCCGGCGCCAACAGGGTCAGAGGGGAGCTCTGCAGTGTCCAGGGGTGATGGGATAGTGAGCTGTGGCTTTGCCCCGCCGGGCTCCGCTCCGTGCTGTGCATGGAGGTGTGCCTGAAAAGTCCGAGTTGGTTGGCTGGAGATCAATAGCGGGCCTTGGTTTTCCTCTCAGCTGCCTCAAATCTCCAATCGACTCCCTCCGTCCACTCGTTAATCTTCCTGGCTTCATTCCTCCGGACCGCGCAGTGCTTAGGAGCATGGAGCCTGGAGGCAATGCTTGGGTTCAAACACCCTCTGCCTCACCCTTTATGCAAGTACTAGCCCTGTGACCTTGGGTCAGTTTTTGACATCCCTGTGATGCCATGGGTTAGGCTGCAGAACGTAAGGTTGGCGATTCAAATCCACCAGCCGCCCCTTGGGAGAAAGCTGAGGCTGTCGCTCACGTAAAGAGTTAGTCTCGGAAACCCTGCAAGGGGTCACTGTGAGTCTTGAATCGAATCGGTGGCAGGGGTTCTGGTTTGGTTTGGTGTACCTCTCGCCAGACTGGAAAGAAAGAGTGTCTATCTAGTAGGGTTAAGGAGCTCTGGTAGCGTAGTGGTTACGAATCGGACTGCTAACGTCAGGGATAGCAGTTCAAAACTATCAGCTGTTCCGCGGGAGAAAGATGAGGCTTTCTGCCCTGTAAAAATTTAAAGCTTGGGAAACACTATGCTGGGTTGCTATGAGTCGGAACCGACTCCACGGCACATAACCACCATATCTAGTAGGGTTATTATGACTATTAAACAAATTAGGTATGTTTCCGAATAGTGCCTTGAACATACCAAAACCAAAAGTCAAAGCCGCTGCCATCAAGTCCAAGTTACCTTGAGCCTATATAAGGTTTCTAACATTGTCAGTTCTTACGGATATAGACGGCCTCAGCTTTCACTCACAATGGATTTGAACCACTGACCTTGAGGTTAGCAGCCCAACACCCAATGTTATCACAACATCACACTAGCTCCCTAGCTTAGTGCCATATATGTTAAATATTATTAAAATTTTTTTGTTTGAATCTAGCTTTTTAAATATCCATACATACCACATGTATATGCTTGATTTTGTTTTGTTTCTAACACTTCATCCCTATCTCTTCCTATTCCCTGGTAACCACTAATCTTTTGTGTAGGTAGATGCACCTGTTTTAGATACTTCATGTAAGTGGGATCACACAAGTATTATTTATTGACTTGTCAGTTTGGTATTACACCTGACTGTTGAAGAAGGGGTTGATGCCCCCAAAACTTTACTAATAGTCTACTGTTGACTGGACGCCTCACTGATAACACAAATAGTCAATTAATACATATTTTGTATATTATATGTATTATATATTGTACCCACATAAAAGCTGCCTGGTGTGGCACTGTAGGATAAGCACTCGAATGCAGGGTTGATGTGAACCACAAGGTGGTGATTTAAACCCACCAGCCGTTCCTTGGAAACGTTGTAAGTTTGAACCAAATCGATGATATTTAAAATCAGCAACAACATGTATTACATACTGCACCTACATAAAACCTGCATTTTCAGTATAAGATAAAAGGTATTTTGGGGGGGGGGCGGAGCGCAAGGTTTTTGTGCTTTTCTTCCCCACCCCAGTGGTCCTTAAAGGAGATTCATTTATCTGGAAATAGTGGTCAGCTGCAGTGGTCCTGGTTCTATAGTACATATCAAACAATTCACCTTTTTTTTGTACGTCGTGACTGATCTCTGATCCTGGAAGCACTTCCAGCATCACTAGTGGCACTTTGTATAGGTCCCATGGTATTATGCAAAATTTACAGTATTGCACTGAATGTGATTAAAAAAAAAAAATACGTAAGAACTATGAGAGATCACTTTTTTACTTCAATACACAGTTTACTGGAGACAGAACTGCTCCTGTACAGATGAGTAGTGTTACATGTCACTAAAGAAACACACTTATGTGGACCTGTGCTGTTCACATCATGTTGTTCAAGGGTCATTTGTTGAGTATCTGGGACTCTGGGGTGGGTTTAGACAGGGTCAGGCTCATGAGAAATGAGTTTTCTCCTCTTCCCTCTCACTATGAACTTTTCTTGGCCCTTAATTCAAGAGCAAGGTGCTCTGGTAGCATAGTGGTTACGAATTGGGCTTCTAACCTCAAGGTCAGCAGTTCAAAACTACCAGCTGTTCCGAGAGAGAAAGATGAGGCTTTCTGCTCCGTAAAGATTTATAGCCTCAGAAACCCTGTACAGGGTCGCTATGACTTGGAAGCAATTCCATGGCACATAGCCATCACCAATTTAAGAGCAGTCAAGCAGAATCCAGAGGGACCTGCCTTTCCCGTGATTGACTTTCTAGTTTGGCACACACTGGTTGAGCATCTGTGGGGCTCTGTGGAGGGTTTAGATAGGGTCAGGCTCTTGAGAAGCAAGCTTTCCCCTTCTCAATCATCATTCAGCTTTTTGTGGAAGTTAATTCAACAGCAGTCAAGCAGAACCTCCTTCCCCTTTACACACACACACACTCTCTTCTCTCCTTTCCTCCCTCCTTTTTCCCCCTCTTAAAACAGTTAAAACAGCAGGGATATTTGGGAGGATGGGGTTAGTTAGGGATTAATACTGTTTATGGCCTCAGCTTAATTAAATGTCTTTCACACCTAAACTATCCTCCTCTTTACACACACATACACTTGCCTAAAGAGGTAGCGTAGTGGTTATGAATTAGGCTGCTAATCTCAAGGTCAGCAGTTTGAAACTACCAGCTGTTCCACGGGAGAAAGATGAGGCTTTCTCCCGTAAAGATTTACAGCCTCAGAAACCTTGTACAGGGTCACTATGAGTCACAACCGACTTCACGGCACATAACAACAACAAAGAAATTAAAGAAAACAGTAGGAATATTTGGGAGGGTGGGATTAGCATTATTTATGGCCCTGGCTTCTAGATGTCTCTCATACCTAAACTGCCAGCTTTTGACCTCTAGGCACACTGAGATAGTATTACTTGGTGTAACTAAGCCAAGTTTTGACTTGTAATTCTGGATCTAGTAACTCCCTTAGGACTTTGATGCAGCTCTATCTAGTATGGGTAGAGATTGTCACATGATAGGAAGTGTACGCCTCTGGGAATCTGTCTTAGTTTCTGAGTGCTGATGTAACAAAAAATACCGCAAACGGGCATCTGTGCAGAACAGATATTTCTTTCTCACAGTTCTGGAGGCTAAAAGTCCAAATGAAGGTCTTGGCCTGGTGGAGTTCTTCTGTGGGCCAGCGTCTCTCCTAGCTTCTGGTGTCTGCCAGCAAGCCTTGGCAGTCTCCACGTGCCATTTGTTGTCCCCCTGCACCCCCCTCCCCCGGCACTGGTGTATTTCTGTTTCTGTTACTGTTCTGCTTTTTTTGTAAGACACCTCTCAGAGGTGATTAAGATCCACTCTACTCTGACATGGCCTAATTAATATAATGAAAACCCCGACTCTCAAACAGGGTCATGGGCACAGATAGAAGGGTAGGTCTATCAGGGGGTATTGCTTATAGCTTTGAGATAGACATTGCATAGATGTGGAAACAAATAACAAAGTTTGTTTAGTGAAGTTTCACATTGTTACTGTTATGTGCCCTGGAGTCTGTTCCGACTCATGGCCACCTGCGTAGGGTTTCCAAGGCTATAAATCTTTACAGGAACAGAAAGCCTCATCTTTATCCTGCAGAACAGCTGGTAGTTTCGAACTACTGACTGTGAGATTAGCAACTCGATTCGTAACCACTACCACATTACTTGAGAAAAATTCAAAGGCGCAGCTTAGATTTTTAGAAGGTTCTAAGAAGTTGAACTGGAATTTGAAGTTAAGAAAAAAGATTTCAAACTTTCCTATCAGAGTGTCTGCTTGAAGATACGTCATCCCAAAGGATTGGTACTAGTCATTGGGGGCTCAGCAACATCCTTAAATCTGTATCATTACACACTTCATGCAGACGTATTATTTCTTCTGCAGGCCAGATTGCTCACTTGTGTGAATTTGCTTGTAGTAGTACTACTGTAGGTTAAGCACTGGACTGGTAACCACAAGGTTGGCGGTTTAAATCCACCAGCTGATCCTTAGAAACCCTCTATAGGGTCACTATGAGTCAGAACCAAGTCAACAGCACTTAACAACAACAGTAATGAATTATTGTGGTGGTGGTGGTGGTGTGCCACCGAGTCAGTTCCGACTCATAGCGACCCTGTATAGGGTTTCTGAGGCTGTAAATCTTTATGGGAACGGAAAGCCTCATATTTCTCCCAGGGAGCGACTGGTAGATTCAAACTGCTTACCTTGCAGCTAGCAGCCCAGCTTGTAATCCATTAGGCTACCAGGCTGCTTTTTCTTATAAGTGCTGTTGAGTTGATTCCGACTCATAGTGACCCCATATAGGGTGTCCGAGGAGCGACCGGTGAGCTTGAACCACCGACCTTGTGGTTCAAACCAACTTTGCAGTGCAGCGCATTAATCCACAGCATCATTCCTAGTAGTAGAGTGAAAATTGAGTTCCAGAGATGGAATCTACTTAGGAATTTTCTGTGTTATTTATAGGCCATTTAGGAACCATACCTGAAGCTTCTCCAAGGTACTGAGAGCAAAAAGTTTCACCTTATCTTTTTTTTTTTTTTAAGGTAGAGTGTTAGGATTGAATTGTATTACTGCAAAATAAGTGTCATCTTTTTTAGACCATGATTCTCAATATTATGAAATTATTCTCTGTCTTGTGATCTGATGTAATTATCCTGTTTTTAAACCCAGTGTCTT